TCTCTAAGAGATCAAGGAAACAGCTTTGGGTATTTTGTTGTGAACTGCAGTGTGTCTCTCCAATCAGTTTTTGGGCAAACAAGTTGCTGTGCTCTTACTACTAGCGTCTGTATTGACACATCTGAGTCCGTAGGAACAAACATAATTCTTAGATGTATAAAATAGGTGCTGCACATACAGTAAGAAGTAGGCAGTGGTTCTGAATTATGTTATGTCATAGTAAGAAGACATAAATCCTCATCTTGCATGAAAAGCCATATTTTGCCTTCAGTTGGATGAAATTTCTCATCCTTTTCCCACTGTGCCTCCACTTAGCCACAATTGGCCAACTAAATTTCTGTTGCATATCTTCAGAAACTCTGTGGGATCGGAAATCATCCTGAGGTCATGGACAAGCGTTTTATCTGTAAATCTGTCCGAGAGAGTGAGAATAAAAACTGTTCAGATAGTACATCATTACCCGAAAGCCTTTTCTTCTCAACACAGGACAACATGCTACAAAAATGTAACCTGCTCTTAATAACAATGCCATCTCTATACTGCATCCCTATTCTATATTTTCATGAAGAAAAGTAAAAGGCTTAGTCCAAAATGTTAAATTCCCAATAAGTTTACTTACAAAACTCTTCACTCATATCTTTTTACTTGTTACCTGCTCATGCATCAGAAAGAAGTGTACTATTTCCAAAAATAGAGGCAAAAGAAGGATGGATGGTTCACCAGCAAAAAGGAGACAAGCAGAGCAGCTAGGATAAAGACATTTCAGACATTTACAATAATATTTCCTTGATTCACTTAAACCAGCCTCTAGTCTTCCCACTGCTTCATAACTCAACCTTAGTTTTATCCCTCTCATAATCTTGCTTTACTGTCTTTGATTTAGTATTATATTTTTCTGATTATTTTAGTTGCTCCCTCAAGTTTGCTTTCCCAACTATTTTTCTAAACTTTATGCTTTTGGTTGGGCTTTTCTTCAGCTCGCTAGTGAATGAGGGGACTATATTAAAAATGGGTCATAAGTAATATGTGAAATAAACTGCTAAGTGTGAGAGAATATGACTGCCAGCCTATTTCTGATGTTAGGAAATAAAACAGTTATCAGGCTTTCTTCTCATGTAAACAAATGAACACTTTTACTATCCTTCGTTGATGTGTTGCTGCTTATGAAAGCTCTTCAAGTTCCAAATGAAACTGTTAACAGTTATATTTAGTTTTGGATCCTATCACATCAATCTCTTGACTTCTCATTTCTTAGAGAGTAACATACAGTGAATGGGAAGTGAGGATTTGCTACTGTGTTTTTAAAGAGCCTGTCCTGTAATCTAAGTACTGTAGTGTGCTCACCTCAATTTTTTCTCTGAAATGGCATTTTATTCCTTTCCCCCCCTCTTCTTCTACTCTAGGTCTCCCAGTCTATGTTGGTGCGGTATGAAACTCACTCTCTGACAATCAATAGAATGTTAAAAGCTTGCTAAGAAGTAAACAAACTAAGATTATTATTCCAATTAAAGGGACTGAATTGGTTTAAGTCATTAAGTGTTTCTCATTTTACGTTTTGCATCTACTGGTGTAATTAATTCCATCACATCTCTGGTCTGGCTGAAAGGGATCTGGCTTACAAATCACATAGGGGAGTCACAGATGGGAAAGAACTGCCCATTCTCCATTCTACATAATGTTCGCCTGTTTTCATTTTGCCTGATCTGCTGATTATGTTCCACATTATACTGATACAAAACTATTTATTTAAAGCAAAATTAATTTGAGAGTTACATTTGTGTATTTGTATATTGATAAAACATCCAATCACCAGCATAACTAGGCACTATATAAAATTAAACATAAAAAAGTTTCAACTCTGGATCACTTTTATGTATGACTACTAAGATTAGCTGCTGTTACATGCACAGATTTATCTGAATGTCTGGAAATATCACAATGAAATAAATGCAAGCTATAAGTCAAGACCTGACATACAGCTATACCCCAAACTATTTTTAAAATGGTCTAAGACATATTTTAGCTAGCTGCAGTTGAATTGTGAAATTTAAGCTTTTTTCAGATGACTTGTTACAATGGAAAAACTTCTATGCAATAAATTCTAACCAAAACTTATTTGACAATGACATCATCATAAGCACTCCAAAATTAGAAAGTCACAATACTTTATACTAATAGCCCTGTGGCACCTTAGAGACTCACCAAAATATATAAAATCATGAACTTTCACGGGTAAAACCCACTTCCTCAGGCAAGCTCATATTTTGGTTAGTCTCTCAGGTGCCACTTAACTACTCATTGTTTTTAAAGTTCCAGGCCAACACAGCTACCCTTCTATAGTTTATATTGTGAGATTTCATTAATAATTTGCCTTCCATTTTATGTACACATTTTAGCTGAAGAAATTACTTTATTTATAAGCATTCAAGTAAACATGGAACTGAAAAGCAGTATTTGCGCTTTTAAACATACAAAGGTGCGTATCATCCTTTCTGAGGAGTTGATCATAAGAGCACAAATACTGGTCAGGAATAGACAGTACATTTGGAAGAGGGCAGCTGAGTGTAAGGCGTCAGTTTCCTTCAGCCCCTTTCCTCCAGATCTATGCCATGCCCACAATTGCTTTCCATAGTAATCATGTATGTTTGGCGAGCTATGCACAGTCAAGGGGAATAAGCAAGTTGGGAAGCAACTACTCAATTCTCCATTTTTTCTAGCCACCTCAGTAAGAGAATAGTGTACATGGACCCATAGGGTAGCCAGTCAACAGTAGCATGGCTCCTTTAAATTTGCACTGCCAGGACAGAGTAGGATCTGGACAGATACAAAGATGGCTCAGGATCCATCAAGTGACTCTTGGGGGTTTGTTCATGGACACAGTTCCCCCTTTTGCAGATCCATAGGTGCATCTCCTTTTCCTGTCAGAAGGTGAGTGTTAAGACCCTATGGCTGTTTTACCTGTTACATTTCTTGGAGAACATTATCAAACATCTCACTGTCAGCTAAAGAAACACAGTGTTATCCACCGGACAATGTGTATCAACTGTATTAATGTCTGCTTGTGTGTCTGCAGCTATTAATGTTAAAAATCTGCTTTGTGTTAGAACACATATCAACCCATATCTAAGGCATAGCCATGAATGGGCTTACGTGGGCTGTGGCCCACCCACTTGGCATCCACCTCCACCAGCCCACCTGGTGCCCTACCCAGAGAGCAGGGTCGGCGCTTATTGTGCTCTACCCTGCCACTCCAGCCAGAGAGAAGAGTGGGGGCTTACCCCACTCCACCCTGGTGCTCCAGCCGGGAGTGGAAGTACTAGGGCTAGAATTCACACTGGAACAGTATTTCCAGGATAGAGCACCAGGCAGGCAGAACAACCGAACAAGCACCCATGCTCCAACCCTGTTCTCTGGGTGCATCTTTGGGTCCCCTAGCCAGAATGTCCTTCCGGCTGGGACGGGGAATCGGGGGAGGAGATGGCCCCATCCCTCCTGTCCTGCTCCCACACCACACATTCTAGCCCACCCACCCCAAGATGGGCTATGACACTGAACCATAGATATACACATATACAAACGATCATTAATATAGATTATACAAACTATCTGGTATACAACATTTCTTTGAGACCAATACAAACATTTTGCTGTCAGCTAAAGACAAAATAAATAACCTTTTACCTACCACATCACAAGACTAGGATTCATGATTATGACCTCATGGCTGTGTCATAAGTGAGAGAGATATTAAAAATAATTCAACAGATATTACACCAAACTCATACATTGTACGACTGGAAAAGAAATGGGATACTTAGACTCTACATTACCTCAGTGAAAGAGGTATAATAAGACGACCAAAAAGCTGTGTAACACATACTTCTGCAAAATCTACAGTGTAAGTGGCAAGTAGAAGGCATGAGAATTATGAAAGCATTATTAATTTAAGTGCAGATTCAATAAGATATAGGTTCTACACTCCCATACTTCAAGAAAGTCATTCATTTAAAAACCTTGCTAAAACCAGGGCCGTGTGCAGCAATTCACAAAATTTCAAGGGAAAAAGACAAAAAAAAAATCAGAATAATGTTAAGACATGATATGCTCTCTGAAGTAGTATCAAAATCTTTACAATACTAGAGAGGCAGTACCAATTCAGATCTTAGAAAGCAAGTCAAGTTTAACTCAGAATCCTTCCAAATAGTCTTCAAAACCTTGATGGGTAGTTGCTTGGTTTTCTTCAGCAATGGCATCTGATAGGAAATCAAGTAAGCAACTGATGTCTGACTATGCCACAACATTAATCTCAGTTAACCTGTAAAACTAGCAAGTGAATAACGGTGGCAACATCAGAGCTGTAGATTAGGCAACAAACTGGAATAATAGCCTCTGATTTAGTAAGACTGATCAGTACTCATGATTTAATAGCGATTACCTTCCCTCTTTCCATCCCAGGATTTGAATTAGCAGGTGTTTGCAAATCTCTTCTTTTACAAAAAATAAATACTGACCTTTCTTCACTGAGGGAGTCCCTCTCCAAAATCTGCTTTTTTTTTTATACTTATGTTGAAATTAATTCCCAATACTGCTATTGATAATCTGGCAACAGTCCTTTTCTTGTTGTTCTTTGTTATATTTAGAGCTTAGATTGCTTTATTGTCTTCTAGGATAGCAAATTAAGTCAATTTTAAAAGTTCCTCAAATCAACTGAAAGAAAACAAGAGGTTTCCAATAACAAAAGCAATGACAAAAAGAAATCCCCACCACAGTGTACCATCAGAAGTCACCAGAGGATAAAGAAAAAACATAATTAAGAAGAACAGCAACAAGACTCCATGATTACGGGAATAAGGTGTTGCCATGCCCTCCCACTTCCAAGCCTTATTTGAAATGGGGGAAGCCACTTGAACTTAATTTTATGCAGGTGTATGCAAATGAACTGAAGTAAGCCATGTGATGAGCAGATCAATTACTGCTGATGTCACAAATGCACCTACACACCTTTTTAAAATGAGTTAGGTATCTTGAGGTTATTTTCAGTGTGTATATCTCGACAAACACACAGAGCACATTTTACTGTACTTCCCTAGTTCACAGAATTATACAGAAATAAACGTGCAAAAGAAGGGGTCTGTACAGAGTACACTAATAAGAAGATGCAACTCTCAAACAGCACAAGAGTTAACACAAAAGTAAGGAAAACTCATCATTTCTTATGAGAAAGAAAGCTGGGGAAACAATTAAAATTAACTCTGTGGGGAAGGGATACTGAATTATCACCAGGTCAATAGTGAAGGTTAACATCTGGCAACACAGAAAGGAGGGATTTCCCTTCCGGAACTCCAGGACTTACAAGTGCGATCCCACCCCAGTTTCTATACAGAGTGGAGACAGACATACAGACACAGTAAAAAGGATAGGCATCAGATAGAGATATACTTCACTCAACGGGGAAACTGAAATATTGGTACTGTATATGGGGAAAAATTTACTTGGGCTACTAGAAAGTGACACCACCCAACTGGTGCATTTTCCTTTCTCCTTTTTGTTCTAATATTCTCATGGTATATCTCCCTTTCTGCTCTGTGACAGATTACTTTGAAAAACCTTTTACTGCAGACTATGCATTTAAGTGCATTGGGGACTAGAGAGGAGCACAGAAATCAGAAATAAAATTTTAGTAAAGTCTTTTGATAGTTTTATTTTGTTTGTTTTTTCTTAATATATTAGGTGATTTTGTTATTGTTAGAAAAAAGGGTAAAAATGAGATACTACCTTAGAAAAAAAAATACTAAAATTGTTTGCATTACTCTATATAAAACCTATATTTTCATTAATTTTTTTCCCCAAAAAAGGATGCACTCACTTTTTACTTTCCCCACTCAACGCTGACAAAAAAAGCTACAGCAGAAAAAGGAAAAAACCGAAGCCAACCAACAGTGCCCAAGACAGGAAAAAAAATGAGGAGGGCAACACTGAAAATGTTTTGGCTTTTGAAAAGCAAAATTTGTTCAATTGGAAATGAAATAAATGTTTTCATTTCATTTTGTCGTTTGTCAGCAAATGACATTTTCTCTCAAAATTTCTGATTCAACTTGTTTCAGCAGAAAAAAAAAATCTATTAGAAAGTGTCAACCAGCTCTAGCATTCAAAGAGCCAAAATCTTTAAAACATTTTGTTGAGAATGATAGCAGCATTTACGAAGACCCTGAAATCCTTACCCCTGCAAAAAATTCCCACTAGAGATAAAAGCAGAACCCATCATCAGTATGGACATACGTCCTCTGGAATGGTGTTTGAAGCATAAAGGGACATATGAATGTCTAGCACATCTGGCACAAATATCTTGCAATGACGACAAGAACAGTAACATGTGAATGCTTCTCACTTTCAGGTGATATTGTAAACAAGAAGCAGGCAGCATTTTCTCCTGCAAATGTAAACAACTTGTTTGCCTGAGATGAAGTAGTAGGCGGTCTGAATAGACTTGTAAGCGCAGAAGTTTTATATTGCTTTATTTTTTAATGCATTTTTGTACATAATTCTAAGTTTGTAAATTCATGATAAAGAGATTTCATTTCAGTACTTGGATTAAGTGAATTGAAAGATACTATTGCTTTTGCTTTTACAGTGCAACTACTTTTAATTAAAAATACAGATTGAGTCTCTGTTGTAAATGAAATCAACTTTTTTGAAAACAGAGAATATCCATGGATATTTAAATAAATGGTATTTTATTATTGTTTAATAGTACAATTAATGTTGGTTCATTGCTTACCGCATGGTTATAATATCTTCTACACTGCTACTCTTGCACCCGACTTACCACTTCAGTAAAGAGCCTTCAATAACAAGGCAATGATTTTGCCAGAGCCCCCATACACACACACACACACACACACACACACACACACACAAAACAATCACAAAGTAAATAGTCACTCCATTTATTGAAGTCTAAAATATTCACGAGTAAACAATTAACCATCTCATTCCACTTTTCACAAAGCATCAAATCCTCCCATCTCATCGCATGCTAAGTAAGCTTAAGTAAACTGGTTTGGCACACATTTTGCTACAGTGAGCATGATGAGACACCAAACACCCAAATGTATTTCTTAACCCTGAATGGATTCTGTAAAATATACATTTTTAACAAGCCTACATAAACATCAAATTCCCTTTCTCCTGATGAGAAGGATGTTTAACAAACCTGTTTTGTCATCTTAAAAGACAGCCATGTACTGTGTGCTGTTGTTAACAGCATTCCCCTTTGCCTACTTTTTCCTCCCCGAGCCTTTTAGGAAACTCTCTCCAACATTACCAAACATTTAAAATAAACTTGACTTGTCAATGTGACATTGCACCCCCATTTTTATGGAAATATTTTTTGAATATGACTATGCCTTACTCAAATATGCTTTATGCAAAACATGGAATGTGACCAGTCATTGTAAAGTCTTTAACCAGCTGAATGTGTACATTCTATTTGTTTGCAAATATCATTCGAAGGCAGAAGTATAGTGTATAACTGGTTTATACAACTAAATTTCCTATTGAAGGCCATTAAGCAGTAACTCAAGAAACTGGATGGCCCAGTACTCAAGATAATCATCCATGAATAGCCTTGTTTTTCCTGGCAGCCTGGACTAGGGTTGGTCCTATGCAGCCAGGTCAGCGGATACTGGAACCCATTTTGGATATGGTACTTTTCCACGTGGTTGTAAAAGGGTTAAAGCTGAACACAGAGGATTCCTGCCTTGGGCAAAATCTCTTTATAGGCAGGAAACCAAACAACATGGGGAGTTGGCAGAGGCCAGACACTTAGGGTTGCCAGATGATTTAACAAAAAAAATTTTTTTTTTTTAAAAGGAGGCTGACCCCTTTAAGATGGCCTCCATCTCGGGCACCATTTTTAAAACCCCACAGCTTGGACTGGTAAGCACAGAAGTCAAAGGGGGTGCGAGCAGGCGGGGGGGGGGGGGGGGGGGGAGCCATTTTTTTTGGAGGAAAGAGCTGTATGCGGCTTGCGAGGCACAGGTTGGCCACGGCTGGTATAGAGAGAGTCATCATGTGGCCAGCTCCTGTGTCTTTGCTGGTCATGGGGGCTAGAGCAGCATGCACTCTGCCCCGCCCCCCAGCATGGCACCTGGCAAGTGCCCCCCCCAGTCTCCCTTTCACTACTACTCTGCCGTGCTCCTCATTCCCCTGCCCCCGCCAGATACTGCAGGGGAAAATTGTCCCCACTGGGCTTCCGTAGGATAGAAACAGGAAATACCGGACATTTGACATGTCCCGTATTTCCTGGTTTTTTTTTTTACCCAGACGGAGCCCGCAAATACCGAACCATCCGGATAAATACCGGACACTGGCAACCCTACAGACACCAAGACCACCCCCCCCCCCAACTTACCACCTACACAACAGCTGGAAATATCAAAGATGTAACAGGGAAGGATCGAGTCCAAGGTAGGAGGCTGCCTAGCTTGTAAGAAAAGATAATTAGAACTACTGCTGGGTAAGAAATTGCATGTAACCAATTTCTTGGAGCATTAAGCTGAGCTGGCATGTTTTGTTTTATTTAGCCTAGTAATTGCTTTCATCTGTTATCACTTGCAATCATTTAAATCCTGCTTTTTACATTTAATAAAATCTCTTTATTATTAAACCCAGTGTAAGTAACTGTTACCTGGCGGGACAAGAACTGTGCATTTCTCTCTTCCATTGATAAAGCAAGTGAACTTATGAGCTCATTCTGTGTAAGAACAGGGTTCTGGCCTGATTGGGGCTGTGCATCTGGCTTCTGTATCAAGTCCATTTGACAGATTCTTCCCAGAGCTGAGTGGAACCCGGTGACTGTCTTGCTCTGCTATGGGCTCTCTCTCAACTTTGTGCCATCTTTGTAGGAGACTAGAGGTTCTGGCTTAGCAAGACAAGGTAGTGAGAGAGGGCAGGTAGGCAGGCTCAGTGGTACATTAAGTTTTTATTTTGAAGATTGAAATGTTTCATTCATATGCCTCTATTTTAAATCTAAAACAAAACCAAAACAGAAAGAGGGGGACATTGGGGAAAAGAAGGTTTAATTATCTTTTAGGCTTGAAAGGCAAAGCCCAAGCACAGATTATTCCACTTTGCCATATATAACTAACAATACAATGTTTGTGAATGGTTGTGTTTAGCTCTCTGAATTACAACATACAGACAACTTAGTGAATGTTAAAGAATCAGCACCACGTTTACTTTCTGAAACTTTATGTGGCTCAAGTCATCTTGCCCCAAAATTCTTTTCGATTAAATTTAAATAATTCCCAGATAATCTTCAATAACAGACTTCCCTAGATTTATTACAGATTTTATATTACAAGCTTCATTATATAAACAGTTTTCACAGGGAATGGTTAGACCATTTTGCTTTCTTTAGAGTGTGACAATTAATTTCTACCTCACAAGAATTCCCCTCAGGTACAAGTGCTACTAATTTGTTTGAAATTCCACCTTTATGTTATTTAATTGGCACCACACTAGATGTTGAGCAACATTCCTTATATGCCCCTCATTACAAGAACATTAATGACTGCCATCAGCTCAATTGCACTTCCTTGACCAGTGAGTTAATTTCCTGTACAGTATTGCTTTCAGCTCTCCTTTCAAAGTCCTTTCAGCCAGCATTTCTTTTAGACCTCTGTTCTCCATTATGTAAGAGAGATCATACCGGCTAGTGTTTAACCAGCCTACAAATTGTAACAAACTATGTCACTCACCACTACCCTGCAGAATCTGTTGAAACACAGTAGTTGAAACTCAGTTTTAAAATGTTCATTTTGACAGTGCACTACCCCTATGATCAGCTCAGTTATAAACGAAGAAAGAAATCTTAAGTCAAAGAAAAAGGAGTGGTCTTAAAAGTGAAACAAAAGCAAGGCATGGAAAGCTTAATGTAGCAGATGAGAACAGTAATGGAAAGATGCCAGCCAGCCAAAGAATTCTGGTTAAACATACAGAGGTATAAACTGAAACATAGGGTGAGTCTGCACTGCACCGTTATTTCGAGATAACTAGTATTATTGCAAAATAACAATGCTAGTGTACGCATGGCCATTCCGTTATTTTGCAATAATTTCTAAATAATGGAGGGCTTATTCCAAAATTTGTAAACCTCATTCTACGAGGAATAACACCTATTCCAAAATAGCTATTTTGAAATAAGGCGTGTGTAGATGCTCCACTGCAGCTATTTGAAATAGCCCCTCCCCAGGGCCATTCTCTGTTATTCCTCCCCAATGCCTCCTGGAGCTCTAAATAGAGATAGCACGTCTACATTAGGGAAGCCTGGCTCGGACTAATTTTGAGGCTTCTCTGCAGTGTGGATGTGCTATTTCAGAACAAGCTATTTTGGAATAACTATTTCAGAATAGCTTATTTTGAAATATCCGTGCAGGATAGATGTACCCAAAGTTGTAGTTTAGTATCTCTTAGCCCACAAGAAAGAGGTCTTGGGAATGACATTGCAATATACCCCAGAACAATCATACAAAAGAAAACTATTACTTTGACACACTGCCAGAACCTCTGTCCCCGGTGAAGCCCATGGAACAGTTGTGGACCCAGATAGGCCCCCAGCAGGAACCAGGAAGCAGCCCAGGGGTAGCCGACCCGGGGCTGGCTGAAGAAATGGAGGTCAGTTGGGCAGCGTGTTGCTGTCAGGATCCCCACTGACCTGGTCAGCATATTGCAGTCACGCTCTCTGCTGCTCTTAGGGCCCTGGGCTGGGACGGAATGGAGCAGGTGAGCCTGCATCCCCCCTGCCACCTCTCACCTTGGGGGGGCAGGTTCCCCCTGATAGGGGTGAAAACCCCTGCGCTTCTTGGCTCTCCCCCAGTGAGTAGACCCAAGCCTGCTCCACTACTAACAGGCCTGTGCCTTAAAACTGGTCAACTGTTGTACTGTTTGTTGCCCCGCCCTGACCAAGGGCCGAGCTTTATAAATTATTTACTCAGCCTGCAGCCAGGGCTGATACTGTAAACTGTATTGCACCAACCTGCACCAGCTGTCCTACCTAAAACAGTGAATTGTTATTTGTGTCTCTGCCCTGCCATGAAGCCAGGGCATGGGCTGGGCCTAGGCCTACACTGTTAAAGGGCTTTTGGGTGCCTGTGCCAACTTGTACTCAGGGCCTATGAAAAAGGAGGGACATCTAACTGTTCCTTTACAGATCTGAGCACAGATCAGGGCCCCAGGTCCTTTTCTGTCTAAGTGCTACTTAGCCAGTCGGTCCCCAGCCTGTATCAGTACTTGGGATTCTTAGGTCCCAAGTGTAGGACTTTGCTCTTGTCCTTGTTGAATCTCATCAGATTTCTTTTGGCCCAACCCTCCAATTTGTCTAGGTCACTCTAGACCCTTTTTCTACCTTCCAATGTATCTATCTCTCCCCCAAACTTGGTGAGAGTGCAATCTATCATCTCATCCAAGTCATTATTAAAGATGTTGAACAAAACCAACCCCAGAACTGATCCGTGGGGCACTTCGCTTGAAATTGTCCTACACTTGGGACCGAAGAATCCCAAGCACTGATACAAACTGGGGACCAACTGGCTAAGCAGCACTTAGACAGAAAAGGACCTGGGGATTACAGTGGATAAAAAGCTGGATTTAAGTCAACAGTGTTCCCTTATAGCCAACAAGGCTAACAGCATATTGGGGTGCATTAGTAGGAACATTGCCAGCAGATCTAGGGAAGTGATTATTCCCCTTTATTTGGTACTGGTGATGCCACATCTTGAGTATCGTGTCCAGTTCTGGCTCTACCACACTACACAAAGGATGTGGATCAGCAAAAGCTTATCAGATAGTCAACTAGTTGCTTCCCCCCCCTGCTGCCAAGCCCAGGGTCCCCTGCTGGCCCCGGGCTCCATGCAGTGTTTCAGTCTTTGAAATGCAGAAGAGCCCCTGCTGGGGCTCTTGTACATTTCAAAGGTGGAACGCGTGCTAGTCCTTATTGACTAATCGAACACATAATGAAAATAAACTACTCAGTTTATTAATCAATATTTAACATTACTAGAGATGGGCCCATTGGACAGGATCCAGGAAAGGGAAGCTAAAATGATTAGGGGGCTGGAGCATATGGACCTATGAAGAGAAGCTTAAGGATATGGACCTATTTAGTCTACAGAAGAGAAGGGTGAAGGGGGGGGGATTTGATAGCAGCCTTCAACTGCCTCAAGTGAGGTTCCAAAGAGGACGGAGAAAGGCTGTTCTCAGGAGTGACAGATGACAGAACAAGAAGCAATAGTCTCAAGTTGCAGTGGCAAAGGTCAAGTTTGGATACTAGAAAAAACAATTTAACTAAAAACCTGGTGAAGTACTGGAATGGTTTACCTAGGGAAGTGGTAGAATCTCCATCCCTAGAGGTTTAAGTCTTAGCTTGACAAAGCTCTGGCTGGGATGATTTAATTAGGGTTGGTCCTGCTTTGGGCAGGGCATTGGACTGGATGACCTCCTGAGGTATCCCTATGATTCTACACATGTCAATACCTGAATTTTCTTCTACTTTTGTTCAGCCTTGATAATAATATCCCAAAGCTGACAATTACAGACACACAGTAAGGATAGCATCTATGATTTCTCAAAGCGTCATGACAGATTTATTAGCCTGCCCACTGGGTAAGAATAGAATGCTTCAAGTTTTACCTCACAACTGAATAAAGGCAAGGAAGTAATGCATCAACAGAGTAAAGCACTCAGACTCCCCTCCCCCTTTAGGTATCAGACTCTTTTGATCGTGGTACCAGCCTTAGGTTGTAAAATGTAAATGGGCCACTTCCCACGATGGGTAAAGTGATGTTATCTCTGACATTTAGCTCCTGTGACAAAGAACTTTCTACAACCCTCTATTAGCCAGAAAGTGTCTTGGCCATCATTCTTATTTGGACTAGAAGCTTCACTGTGCTTACATCATGAATCCTCTAGGAGTCTGAAGTATACATGTGAATCCCAGTTAATAAATTAACTGGTTAAACATCATGTTTAACCCGTTAACCATGATAGCGTGCCATGTGCTGCCCCCACCTGGAACACCCCCCACCTGCGGCACCGGCCAGTTGGTCCGGCTGGAATCGAGCAGCCCAACCAAGCCCAGTGTGCCACAGGCTGCTCCAACCAGGCCAGGCCAAGCCCACCACACCATGCCAGCCAGAGCAGCCCCCAGCCAGTTAATTGGTTACCCGGGGAAGCATGTTGGTAAGGGACATGCTTACAGGGTAACAAATTAACTATGTACATTCCTAGTAGGAAGCCTGGCATACATCTGAAGAATTCAGAAATCCTGCCTTACCTAGGGTCCTACCAAATTCACGGCCTTGAAAAATGTGTCTCAGCCCTTGAAATCTCATTTGTAATGTGCTTTCACCATCTACTATGCAGATATCGTGGGGGAGACCAGCATCTCTCAAATTGGGGTTCTTAACCTAAAACAGAGTTGTGAAGGGGTGGGGACAGGAGTTGCAAAGTTACTTTAGTGGGGTCGTGGTATTTCTACCCTTACTTCTGCACTGCTAGAGAGCATCAGCTGCTGACCGAAGGTCCAGCAGGCTCTTAATACGAGCTCGCGCCCAGTCTATGCTGCAACCCCCCCCCTTCCCCCCCAGAGATAAGACAGTGCTAGGGGAACCGACTTTTAAGCCAGCTCCTCCCAGCAGTGGCTTCTACTCCCCCCCTTGCTACTTTTGCTTATCGGTGGGTCGACTAGTAAAACTAGTCTCTTACATCCCTATCAAGTACAAGTGGCAATACTATACCATCCTTATCCTTACTTCTGCACTGATGCTGGCCATGGCGCTGCCTTCAAAGCTGAGATCCCAGCCATCAGCTGCCCCTCTCCAGTTGCCCAGCTTTGGAGCCAGCCTCCAGCAGAAGCCAAGTGTACTGCAACCCTCCCTATAATAACCTTGCAACCTCTCTCACCCTCACCTTTTGGGTTAAGACTTCTACAATTATGACACTGCAAAGTTTCGGATTTCAATAGGATTTCAATAGCTGAAATGATCAAATTCATGATTTCTGAAACCCTATGACCATGAAATTGACTACAACGGACTGTATACCTCCTTTATACAGACCTCAGAGTATTTATGCACCAAAGAATGTGAGGAATGGGAAGGGAGAGAGGGAAAGTGGAAGAGCTCTGCTTAGCAGCCTCCATACACATCAGGTATCTTATAACCTGTTGCTCTCCTTTTTCCAGGTCAGTTACCAGATGTGACAAATCAACCAAGAATTGAACTTCACCCAGAACATCTCCTATTCCATTGCCTATTTGGTCTGTATTGGTACTAGAGATGTTAAGTAGCGATTAATTTACTAGTCGATGGAATTTCCACCGACTATTTGACTACAGTGAGCCCTCGCTACTTCGCGGTTCGACCATCGCGGATTCACGACTTCGCGGACTTTTTTCATTACGTATTGTGACAGGGTCAGGCCAGGGAGCTGCTGCAGAGGCGCGAAAAGGCAGCCCAAAAGGGAAAAACTCCTGTTAGAAAAGCAGAGAACTGCAGCACAATTAGGTGCAGCTGGGAGGGAGCTGGCTCAGGCAAATTGGGGCCAGCTGACTTCTCTGCTGACTCTCTGAGGGCCTTTAAAAGCCTCATCAGTTGGAGGCTAGGGAGAGGAGTGAGAGGACGAAAGGAAGGTGGTGGAGAGGCAGAGAGGAAGAAAAGGAGAGAACAAGTTGAGGCGGCGGGGGGGGGAGCCTGTGGGCCCCTGGCTTGGGCTCCCTACCACTGAGACCCGCTGCAAAACCCCAGTAGTGGCTTGGAGAAGAGGGGTCCTTGCCACAGTATGTATATATTATAAAAGAAATATATCGCGGATTTTCCGGAAATTTCGAAAATAGCCGCGATATATGAAGACCCCAAATATGTTTTAGTTTAGGGTACTGTAGTACATGCATTAAGTGTTCTGTACATTAAAGGGTGGTTTGTTAACAGTACTACGTAAAGGGAGGGTTTTAAAAGTCTGAATATACATGTTAAATAAATACGTAAATATGGTGTCCCTACTTCGCGGATTTTCAGCTATCGCGGTCGGGTTTGGAACCTATCTACCGCGATAAACGAGGGTTCACTGTAGTCCATAAGCACGTCCACATTCCGCCTTTGAAATGTACAAAAACCCCAGTGGGGGCTCTTGAGAATTTCAAAGTTGGAATGCCATGTGGCATTCAGAGACAGTGGGATGTCCCCCTGACTCAGGGCTCCACATTGGCGCTTCCACTTTGAAATACACAAGAGTCCCAGTGGGGGCCCTTGTGCATTTCAAAGCACAAGTGCCCCATGGAGCCTGGGGTCAGCAGGGGACTCCCCAGAGTCTCGCATGGGCCCCAAGCTCCATGCTGTACTTCCACTTTGAAATTCATAAGAGCCCCACTGCGGCCTCTTGCACATTTCAAAGCTGGCATGCCCACCTGGAGCCCGAGGACAGTTGGGGAGTCCCCACCTAACCCCAGACTCCATCCAGCATTTCAAAGCAGCAGCAACGCACTGACCCCGGGGTCATCCCAGCTGACCCCGGGCTCGGTGAAGTGCTGCCACTTTTAAGTATCTCTCTGTTCTCCCCCCTCCTTGCTGCCTCTATCTGATAGAGGTAGCAATGGGTGGGTTGGGGGGGAGCGACTGTTCCTTTACATCCCTAATTGGTACCATGCAGCTGGTTATTGGCAACCAGCTGTGCACCACTTGCAGACCAATGCTATCCAGCACAGCTTCCGTAAGCAGAGAAAATGCCTTGGCTTTTTGAATATTTGGTACACTTCAGAACCATCAAAATCCTGAAACAAAGAGAGAGTTGAGAAGTGTGAAATCATCTCTACTCAGCACAGGATATGGCACCTCTTGATAGGCAGATAGCTGCAAAGGAAGTTGAAATTGTGGTAAAAAATTTAAAATCCAATAAAGCTTTAGGTTCCAAAGAGTTATTTTGGGAGTACTACTTCTGAAAAAGCCATTGACCAACAGGAGTGGGAATGCCTTAGATTCTGCTAACATTTGGCTTTACAAATAAGTTTTCTATAGGAACATTGGCCTCTCTACTCATTCTCAAGCATCATTTTGGGCTAATGGTAACTCAATCCCCTCTTTTTAATTTCTCTAGGATTACAACACAGGGTTGCCTCTTGTCCCTGTTTGCTTTGGAAATGGAGTCATTTACAATAAATGTGAACAACAGCCTGTTGGTAAACAGGATCAAAACACAAAATAGCTTTTTATGATGCTCACGTCTGTTACATTTGCAGGATCCAGAAGCCTAATTAAAAGAACAATTGCCTTGGGAATCTGGGCAGGCTTTAAGTTTCAAAGTCAACTAAAGTAAAAATGATGTTTTAGCTATTAATATACCCAAAGAGAGGGTCAACACAATTGTTGTCAGCTATCAAATAGATAAAGGAATCTTGAAATTATTTAGCAATAAAATATTGTGAAGAAACAAATCTTGTTATGGACAAATCACCCTCTGGTATAGGAATAAAATAACCAAAGAGCTGAATGAATCGAATACAAATTTTTTTTTATTAGGTAGGGTAGCATCAGAAGGTCTTCCTAAAGTTATTGTATTTGTTTCAGTGCATCCCTGGTGGTATCTAGGACATAAAATTAACACATGGCACAATATGCTATTAAAATTCATCTGGAAGGATAAAAATCAAACAGAGTTCTAAAGTTCTGTTGAAGACTACACAGTGTGGTGGACAAGTGTATCATAATTTGGTTTATTTTTATAGACTCACGTAAATGTAGGGCTGAAAGGACCTCAAGGAACCAAGGAACCTATGAGGAATTATCTAGGTTATTTGTCCAATCTATTCTTAAAAGCCTCCAATGAGGGGATTTTGTGGGGTTTTGTGTTTGTTTTTTGGTCTGTCTATTGTGGGGGTTTTTATTGTTGTAGTAAGCTCTTCCAAAGATCTTCCTTGCTGCAGATTAAGCCTATTACTTCTTGTCCTAACTTCACTGGCTATGGAAAACATTCATCGCCATCCTCATTATACAACTCCTTACTAGATTTTAAAATGTATCGAGTTCACCTTCATTCTTCCTTTCTTAAGATTAAACATACGCAGTTGCTTTAACCTTTCCTCATAAGTCAAGATTTCTAAACTTTTTCCTCACTATTAAAATGATACTATCAACAGGCTAACACTGGATAAACTGTAAACAAGACTGGGACCCAAGTTTAGTTAAATATCGAAATTATTGGATTAAAAAGAAATTTAGGTCACCGAAAATTTAAAGTTGCCTATTCATTTAGACCACCTTATTCATTTTGTACAATTTTTTTTTTAAATTCCTGACACCAAGGCCCCCTTCTTTAGCTACTTTCATTAATAATGAGGAAATTATCCCTAGGAAATATGTATGTGACTTTCAACATAACTAAGATTACCTTAGCTGGGACAACTATTCCTGGGTCCTGATATGCAACAAAGTAAAAGATATGCCATCATGTAAATAATACAAGGAGCCCATAGTTTCAGTATTTACATATGAAGCATTTTATCTCATACAAGATGACCATCTAGACTTTTAATCACATTTGAACAATTCATCGGTTTTGGCACTGTAAAAGGTTCAGAAAAGAGCAACAGAAATTATTAGGCGTTTGGAACGGGTCCCATATGAAGGGAGATTAAAAAAAACAGACTTTTAATTTTAGGAAAAGAGGAGATGGGGGGGGCGGGGGATATGCTAGAGATTTATAAAATCATGACTGGTGTGGAAAAAGTGAATAAGGAAACTTATGCCACAATATAAGGACTAGTGGTCACCAAATGAAGTTGGTAAACAGCAGGTTTAAAGCAAACAAAGGGAAGTTTTTCTTCACTCATCCTGTGGAACTCCTTGCCAGAGATGGGGTGAAGATTAGGACTTCAACAGGGTTCAGAAAACAGCTAGATAGATTCACGGGGGTTAGGTCCATCAATGGCTAGCTATTAGCCAAGATGGGTAAGGAATGGTGTCCCAAACCTCTGTTTGTCTGGAAATGGGTGAGAGGAAAGGCATCATGTGAGGATTACCTGTTGTGTTCCCTCCCTCTGGGGCATCTGGTATTGGCCATTGTTGACAGACAGGATACTGGGCTATATGGACCTTTGATCTGACCCGGTATGGCTGTTCTCATGTTGTTATAATTTAGGAACAAAACTAGAACACACATTTTAAATTCTAAAATATATATAGTTTTGATTGAAAAAAAAAATGCTGATGAGAAAAAAAAACCCAAAATGAACAGAAGAAAGAGGGATTTGGTCCAAAGAACTTACCCAGATGAGTAGGTCACTATACAGGAAAAGGAGTATACAACTTCTATTTGTGTAGCTCATGAAAAACAATTATAAGTTACTATACAGATGGTATTTGACTCAAATTAATATACATCATATATTTGCTATTAGAGGGACATTCTGGTGGAGGGATGGAGGGAAAGGGGGAAACAAAATTGCACGTGGTGGCTGGGTCCAGGAATTAGAGTTTGGAGAAGAAATTGTTAAAGAAATTCATCTTATTACAAAATGCTGGCTGCCCAGAGAGCCCCTCACCCACTTACACCAGACAAGGTTTTAAATTTTACATAAAATGATAAATCGCCTTTTTCATTGTTAACAGCAAAAGTTTTCATTGCATGTTACTAGAATAATGAGATTTTTTCCTAAGGAATTAGGATATATAATAATATTGACTGTCCTAACCTCTTCAAGCATGTAGACAAGTACCAAAGAGAAGTCTGCAATCACCCTTCTTAGCATACTCAGAGAAGGGTGGCTCCCCAGTAGGGATGTGAATGGGTAACAGGTAAACTGATTAACCAGTGCCCAGGAGCAGCCACTCACTAGTAGCCTGCCATGGGAGAAGGGCTGCCTCGGTGGGGTCAGGAGCCAGTGGCAGTCCCCCCAACCACGACTAGGAGCATCCTGTCGCCAGTGGTGGAAGTCACCCCAGCGCTGAGGCTGGGAGCTGCCTGCTAATGGGTTAACTGATTCATCAGGATTTTACATGCCTCCTCCCCAGCCAGCAAGCCAAAGGATTTATCCAGGTTCTTTGAATATTAGTCTAATTGTCAATAATATATTATACTGTACATCATTTATTAACATTTTATAACTTTGCCTTAACTTTTAGAAGAAAACACCTTGATGAAGAGCTCCATGGCAGGACATATATAAGTTGGGAAAAAAAGAATGACTTGTCTTATGGGAGCATCAAGAGTTCCCAATTAAGAGCATAGCTCCACTGTGCTAAGCACTGCACAGAAAACAATCCCTTGGCAGCTAGGACTGGCACAGTGCAGGGCTGGAGGCAGTACGAGACCTACCAACCACTGGGTGAGGCGTCCTGACTTGCCCTAGTCTGCC